AGTGAGTATCCTCGTCTCTTTGCTGATTTTATAAAGAATGCATCTACTATTTTATACATTATTGGTTTAAGAAAATTTATCTCCATTTCTAGTTTACCTACATATATTTTAAAATCATGAATGGATATTGAATTTTATTGAATTCTCTTTCTTTCTTTTTTTTTTTTTAGATAGGGTCTCGAATTATTGCCCAGGCTGGAGTGCAGTGGCGTGATCACCACTCACAGCAGCCTGGAACTCCTGGGCTCAAGTCATCCTTCCACTTCAGCACGTCACCCACCTCCTCAGTAGCTGGGACCACAGTGTGCCACCATGCTTTGCTTTTTTTTTGAGACAATCTCACTCGCCCAGACTGGAGTGCAGTGGTATGATATCATCTCACTGCAACCTCCGCCTTCTGGGTTCAAGTGATTCTCCTGCCTCAGCCTCTTGTGTAGCTGAGATTACAGGCATACGCCACCACAGCCAGCTAATTTTTGAATTTTTAATAGAGACAGGGTTTCACCATGGTGGCCAGGCTGGTCTTGAACTCCTGACCTTGTGATCTACCCGCCTTGGCCTCCCAAAGTTCTGGGATTACAGGCGTGAGCCACTGCACCTGGCCCTAATTCTTAAATTTTTTTGTAGAAATGGTGTCTCACTATGTTGCCCAGGCAGGTCTCTAACTTCTGGGCTCATGCGATCCTCCCACCTCAACCTCCCAAAGTGCTGAGATTATAGGTGTGAACCACCACACCTGCTCCTATTGAATTTTCTGTGCCTAATGGGGTATGTTTGCTCTTTAAATCTGTAAATGTGTAAATTGTATTAATAGATTTTCCAATGTTAAACCATTCTTGCATTATTGGGATAAATTCAATTTGGTCATAATTTATTTATTAAATACATAACTGATTTCTGATTGTTAATATTTTATTAAGATGTTTACAACTACATTAATAAAACAGATTGACTTATAACTTTTTTTCTTTCTTCCTTTTTTTTTGAGATGGAGTTTCTCTCTTGTTGCCCAGGCTGGAGTGCAATGGTGCTGTCTCAGCTCACTGCAACCTCCACCTCCTGGGTTCAGGCAATTCTTCTGCCTGTCTCCTGAGTAGGTGGTATTACAGGTGCCTGCCACCACACTTGGCTATTTTTTGTATTTTTAGTAGAGACAGGGTTTCACCACGTTGATCAGGCTGGTCTCGAACTTCTGACCTCAGGTGATCCACCTGCCTTGGCCTCCCAAAGTGCTGGGATTACAAGCATAAGCCACCGTGCCTGCCCTGACTTGTAATTTTCTTTGTGTCATTTTTTATATCAGAAAATAAACTGAACATGTTTTCTCTTTTTTATAGGGAGAGTTTGTATAAGATTAGAATCATCTTTTTCAATTGCCTGTAAGTTTCTGGTGGAATTTGGTATAGGTTTTTCATGCCTGTGAAGATACACTTTAAACTAATTCAATTTCCTCTAGGGAAAATTGAATTCCTCAATGGAATAGTCCTAAATCTAGACAAAATTTCCATAACTACTTCTTCTTTTTTTTTTTTTTTAAATATGGGGTTTCTCCATGATGGCCAGGCTGGTCTTGAACTCCTGACCTCAGGTGATCCACCCACCTCGGCCTCCCAAAGTGCTAGGATTACAGGCGTGAGCCACTGCACTCGGCTCCATAACTTCTTGAGTCAGTTTTGGCAAGTTGTTTTTTCCTAGAAAAGTTTTCAAAAGCATTGTCAAAAAGAATGTTCCATTGCTGTTTCTCTCTCTTAATCTCTGTAACTGAAATATGTCCCTATTTTTGCTCCTAAGATATTTTTTTTTTTTTTTGAGGCGGAGTTTCGCTCTTGTTACCCAGGCTGGAGTGCAATGGCGTGATCTCGGCTCACCACAACCTCTGCCTCCTGGGTTCAGACAATTCTCCTGCCTCAGCCTCCTGGGTAGCTGGGATTACAGGCACGCACCACCATGCCCAGCTAATTTTTTGTATTTTCAGTAGAGACGGGGTTTCACAATGTTGACCAGGATGGTCTCGATCTCTTGACCTTGTGATCCACCCGCCTCAGCCTCCCAAAGTGCTGGGATTACAGGCCTGAGCCACTTTGCCCGGCCCTAAGATCTTTTTGTGTCTTATTTCTTTATTTCTCTATCAGTATTGCCAGAAGTTTGGTTTTTTTAATTAGTTTTTTATAAGATATGGCTTTTGACTAAAATAATCATCTCTATTATATGATTAAAACTCAATTTGATTGATTCTGCTTTTAACTTATTTATTGAGAAAGTGTCGCTCTGATGCCTAGGCTGGAGTGCAGTGGCGCAATCACAGCTCACTGCAGCCTCAACCTCCTAAGGCTCAAAGGATCCTCCCACCTCAGCCTCCTGAGTAGCTGGGATCACAGGCACACACCACCACACCCCCCTAATTTTAAATTTTTTGTAGAGATGGAGTTTCACCATGTGGTCCAGGCTAGTCTTGAATCCCTGGGCTCAAGCTGTCCACTAGCCTTGGTCTCCTAACATGCTAGGATTATAGATGTGAGCCTCCACGCCCAATCTTATCTTCTTTTATAGTCTACATATGTTCTCTGCTGTTCTATCTTATTAAAGTTTGATATTTGCCTCATTAACTTTCAGCTTCTTAAACAAAATATTCTAATATAAGCATTTAAGACTATAAAATTGCCCTCTAAGTATTCCTTTAACTGCATCTTATAAGTTTTATAAATAGTATTTTTTAAATTGCTCCATGCTAATTATCTTTTAATTACAATTATGCTTTCCTATTTGACTGACTTAAGTCTATTGTTACAAAATTTCAGGCCCAGTGTGGTGGCTCACCTGATGTCAGGAGTGTGAGACCAGCCTGGCCAACATGGTGAAACCCTGTCTGTACTAAAAATACAAAAAATTAGCCAGGCATGGTGGCAGGTGCCTGTAATCCTGGCTACTCTAGAGGCTGAGGCAGGAGAATCACTTGAACCTGGAAGGCAGAGGTTGCGGTGAGCTGAGGAGCAAAACTCTGTCTCAGACCAAAAAAAATCCTAACATGGGCTGAACACAGTGGTTCATGCCTGTAATCTCAGCACTGTAGGAGGTTGAGGTGGGAGGATCGCTTGAGGTCAGGAGTTAAAGACCAGTCTGGGCAACATAGGGAGAACTTGTCTCTAATTCCAAAAAAAAAATTGTAAACATGGTATTTATAACTTAATTGCTTGTGTAAAAGAACATGTTTTATACAATACTCTGATATTGTTTAGATTTGTTTTGTGGCCAAGTAGAAAAGCAATTTATAAATGTCTAAAAATATGTTACATGTATACTTTTGTTTACTTCTTTTTTTTTGACAGTATACATGTATACGTTTTTTTTTAAAAAAAAAAGGTATAATTGGGGCCAGCTGAGATGGCTCATGCCTGTAATCCCAGCACTTTGGGAGGCCAAGGTGGGGGATCACGAGGTTATGAGCCCATCATTGCCAACATGGTGAAACCCCATCTCTACTATTAAAAAAATACAAAAATTAGCTGGGCGTCGTGGTGGGTACCTGTAGTCCCAGCTACTTAGGAAGATGAGGGTTCAATGGCTTGAACCCAGGAGGTGGAGGTTGCAGTAAGCCAAGATCACGCCACTGCACTCCAGCCCGACAGAGCGAGACTCCATCTCAAAGAAAAAAAAAAAGTGTAATTGGGTTAAATAATATAAAGACCAACATCTTAAAATAACTGAAATAGGCAGAGGATGACTGGATACCTTTGTCCTTGTTGAAGCATGAGATACAGTGATTGGGGAAGAAATAGAATAGGGAGAAGATTGGAGAAAGCAATATAACATTGAGCCGTTCTCCTCTAAAATAGCCTTAACTTCTCTGAGCCTCAGTTTTCCAACCTGTAAATTGTAAATAATACTAGTGTCTACCCCATATATTTGTGAAGATTAAATGAGTTCATTCAAACCTGAGAAGTGCTCAAAAAATATTAGCATTACTGTTAGAATTATATGACACATGGCATTTTCCCAATAATGCTGGAGGAACCAATGTGTTCAGTAAAATCCCCTAAGTTTGTTGCACAGACCAGGCTTAATCTTTTCCATGTCACTTCAGTTTCCTAAAAGGCCAAAGCTAAGGGAAGATGCATCCTAGGAGTAGTAACAGAGGCCTGGACTTCTGTCATACAAACGTTCTTTCACTTGTTCCTTCATTCAATCAAATATTCAACCAGGCGCGGTGGCTCACGCCTGCATTCCCAGCACTTTGGGAAGCAGGGGTGGGCCTCCCAAAGCATCTGAGGTCAGGAGTTCGACACCATCCTGGCCAACCCTGTCTCTACTAAAAATACAAAAATTAGCCGGGTGTAGTAGCGGATGCCTGTAATCCCAGCTACTCAGGAGGCTGAGGTAGGAGAATTGCTTGAACTCAGGAGGCGGCCGTTGCAGTGAACCAAGATTGTGCCACTGCACTCCAGCCTGGAAGACAGAGCGAGACTCCTTCCAAAAAAAAAAAAAAAGAAAGAAAAGAAAAAAGTTTACTGCCTGCCCCAGTAACTAAGTTACAGCCACCGGCATGTGAAGCTCTACAAACGGTTTGGTAAAGATGGGTAGAGAGGGGCTTAGCTACTCCACATTGACATGCAAGGAGTCCCAGGTCTTCAGTTCTGGTGTGCAGAAGAACACCATTTTTCCTCACATGCGAGCAGGAGGACCTTTCACGGGGCCGATGTACAGAGGGCCAGGCCCCAGTGGCAGACGTGCGGGCCCCGTCTAGGTTCAGCATAGATGAGCAGAGGGGTCCCGACCACCCGTACGGGTGGGTAAGGAAACGCCCCGCTCCCTGCCCTGTTTAAAGGGGTCCACGCAGAGCCTGCCGGGGCAGCAGCAGAGCTCGGTAGCTCGGTCTCCGCGCCGCACCTTCACGTCCAGCACAAGAGGCCTGGCTCAGGTCCCCGTCTGGAGCCGCTGGGTCCGCGCGTCGGAGACTAAGAGCAAGCGCCGCGGAGTCGTCTCCGCTGTGGGCCAGGGCTTACCCTTCGTCGGTTCTCCGCCGCTGGCGTCGCTGCTCGCTCGCAGGTCCCACAGCCACAACACAGACAGGAGCACCCACCCGACGAGAGCGCACCCCACACCCTCCCCTACCCGCGCCAACCTCCACCCGGCGCCTAGCGTTCAAACTAGCAGGGCCGGCCAGGCCGTGCTTCCCATTGGTCAGCGTCCGGATCGCTGATTGGCTGTTTCCTAAGTAACAAACTACGGCGGGAGCTGCTCAGAGTGCGCTTGCGCACTTCCTCTTCCGGTCGGCTGGATTTTCCCAGGCGGTGTCTCCGGGGCTGGATACACAAGAGCGGCAGGCAGAAGCCAGCCCAGGGTTGGAATACCTGGGACCACAGCCAGTCTCTGTGGTCCCGGGGCTGGGCTTAACAGCAGTTGCAGCAACCAGACTTCCAACAGGTGTTTAAACCTGCTTTTTCTGTAGACCAAATTCACATCCGTTTGTCAAGAGGGGATTGTCAATCCCTCTCCAGCGTCTCTTTCTTCTTCTGGACCATCCCAAGAATGAACTTCAAGAACAGCCTTGATGTGGCAAAGCCAGCAGACGCCAAGAATGGCAAGTTCAATCGCTTGGCTTTGACAGTGTCAGAGGCATGATGACTGATGATTGTGTGTGACGGTCGGCAGCGGTGGGGGCACTGCCTCCATCGTCCACGGCTGCCCGCTGCTTGCATCCTGGTGGGCCCACCTCGTGCTGATCTCCAGCACCGGAGGTTGTGGGAGTCGAAGAGTTTCCAGTTGTGGCTCAGTCACTAACTAGTGCTGAGACTGCGAGGCACTTCAGCTCTCTGAGTGTCAGTTTTCTCATCTATAAAATGGGGCCAATATCCTGCCCTTCCCGTTCACCTAGGAGAGCGTGGGTACGAAGGCCCTCCAACGTCCCCAGCATATTTAGGGGATAGCTTTTATACATTTTTTGTTGTTGTTGAGACGGAGTTTCGCTGTTGTTACCCAGACTGGAGTGCAATGGCACGATCTCGGCTCACCACAACCTCCACCTCCTGGGCTCAAGCAATTCTCCTGCCTCAGCCTCTCGAGTAGCTGGAACTACAGGCGCGCACCACCATGCCCAGCTAATTTTTGTATTTTTAGTAGAGTCGGGGTTTCACCTTGTTGACCAGGATGGTCTCGATCTCTTGACCTCGTGATCCAACCTCCTCGGCCTCCCAAAGTGCTGGGATTATAGGTGAGAACCACCGCACCCGGCAGCTTTTATACATTTGATTAAAACCAAATAGGTGAAGACTGCAAAGAGCCAGGTGCTCATTACTTTCAGTAAACCTTCAGTACATCTGTCCCCACACTGGGACCTTGAGCAGGTTTGAGGCATGTAATACAAGGGGGAGGCAAAACTCCCTCATCAGACTTGCCATCAGGCTGATAGTCACTATTCAACACCTGGATGACTTGGCCCAAACTCATTCACCTCCTTGGACCCCAAATGACCCCTATACAATAGAATAGCATTGCTGGTTTGGTGAGGTTAAAACCAGAAAATTATGTGGAGGTGCTGTCATTGTAAAGCTACAAGAAATTTGGAGTAATCTTACCATCTCCACTACCCATGATAAGTAAAAACAAAAAGTAAAGGAGGACTCACAGCATAAGGGTCTCCTGTCTTAATGAGATGTGTATTTTAACAGGTTTTGGGTCCCCAGGAGTCATCAGGGGAGCCTCTTGTGTCCTATAAGCCAGGGCTTGTCCTGGTCCTCTTCTGGTTGAGACAATTAGCTGGAGGTTAGGTGAGTCAGGATAAGGCAAGGGGCAGAGTCTGGCCCTGCTGCAGGCAGTGGACAAGGGACACTTACTTGCTGGATAATCCTGGATAACTCACCAAGTCTATTGGAGCCTCAGTTTCTGAAGTTATAAAATAGGGAACAAAAGAATACTTAGCTTGTTACAAAGATTAGAAAAAAAATGTAGGTAAAGCACCTTGCTGACATTCAATAAAATGGTAATGGGTGTTCTCATATTCATTTATTCAACAACTACTTGCTAATATGAGACAGGTGGGCTCAGAGAATAGGGTGGTCAGTGATCAACACCCTCCCCCTACCCTTGAGCTTCCAGCCTATGGGAGAAATTAGACAATTAAGTATGAACAATAATGGGAGATGCAGACTATAATGAGAACATGCAGGGGGAAGTGGGGCTGGGGAGTGGCATGCTAGCTGAGGGCTGAAGGGACATTGGGAGCTTGTCTTGCAGGGGAGCTCTGGATCTCAGAAGACAAGGGAAGACAATCCCACAGGTCAGAGAGTCAACCTTGCTGAACAGTGCTGAGAGGTCATGGTAGGGTCTGGGCAGGTCCACCTTAATGAACACAAATGGAAAATATCTGGGGCACAGATTCCTCATCTATAAAATCAGCACAGATGCTGATAAAAGGAGATTGGTTTGGAATTGGCCCAACAAGAATTTCAAGGCCTAGAACCCTAATTTGAGCTCTGGGTGCAGAATTTTTTTCTTGTGTGGAGGCAGAAAGTGATTCTAGGCTGATGTGACTAGAATTGTGAAAATCAACAGGCTCTGTGTTCTTATGAGGTGTGCGAACATCTCACCATCTGATTTCTGAGACCACCGACCCCAGGTGCTCAAAAGAAAGCAGAGGGAATGTACATTCTCCCACCTGTACTCTTATCATTGCATAGCCTTTGCACCAAGGTGTGGCATTAACTACTTTGTGATTTTTTGTTTCGTTTTGTTTTGAAATGGAGTCTTGCTCTTTTGCCCAGGCTAGAGTGCGATGGCACAATTTTGGCTCACTGCAACCTCCACCTCCTGGGTTCAAGTGATTCTCCTGCTTCAGCCTCCCAAATAGCTGAGACTACAGGCGCAAACCACCACATCCGGCTTTTTGTATTTTTAGTAGATATTGACCAGGGTGGTATTGAATTTCTAACCTCAAGTGACCCACCCACCTCGGCCTCCCAAAATGCTGGGATTATAGGTGTGAGCCACCATGCCCAGCCTACTTTGGATATAGATCAATTTTAAAAGTTTCTTAAATCAAGTATCCACTTGGTCACTTGGTTTAACAAGAGGTCATGGGTGGCCTTTTGGTTTGTTTTTTTTTTTTTAAAGACAAGGTCTCACTCTGTTACCCAGGCTGGAGTGTAGGGTCGTGATCTCAGCTCACTGAAATCTCCACCTCCTGGACTCAAGTGATTCTCCCGCTTGAGCCTCCCAAGTAGCTGGGACCATAGGTGCACACCACCATGCCTGGCTAATTTTTTTTTTTCAGAGATGAGGGTTTTGCCGTGTTTCCCAGGCTGGTCTTGAACTCCTAAGTATAAGCCATCCACCCACCTCTGCTTCCCAAGGTGCTGGGATTACAGACATGAGCCACTATGCCTGGCCTAGGGTGGCCTTGACAGGAGCAGTTTCAGAGGAGTGGCAACAGCCAGATGACAGTGGGATATGAGGAAGTTGTAACAACTTTTAAGGTAATTTGGTTGTCAAAGCGAGCAAAGAAATGAAGTAGCAGCTGTAGGGGGGTATGGGGTTAAGGGAGGATTTTTAAGGATAAGAGAGTTTTAAATGATGATGGGAAGGAGCCAGTATAGAATGAGCAGCTAGGCTGAGTGTGGTGGTTCGTGCCTATAATTCTAGCACTTTGGGAGGCCAAGGCCGGAGGCTTGCTTGAGGCCAGGAGACAGAGACCAGCCTGGGCAATATAGTGAGACCCCATCACTAGGGAAAAACAAATATTGTATGTTATGCCTTGGTTGAGGGAAAAAAAATTTTTTTTTTAAAGAAAAATTAGCCTGGTGTGGTGACATATGCCCTGCAGTCCCAGCTACTTGGGAGGCTGAGGCAGGAGGATCACTTAGCCCAGGAATTGGAGGCTTCGGTAAGCTATAATCATGCCACTGCACTCCAGCCTGGGCAACAGAGCAAGACCCTGTCTCAAATATATATATATATAGGGCCAGGCACAGTGGCTCACACCTGTAATCCCAGCACTTTGGGAGGCCGAGGTGGGTGGATCATGAGGTTGGGAGATCGAGACCATCCTGGCTAACATGGTGAAACCCCGTCTCTACTAAAATACAAAAATTAGCCAGATGTGGTGGTGGGCGCCTGTAGTCCCAGCTATTTGGGAGGCTGAGGCAGGAGAATCACTTGAATCCAGGAGGTGGAAGTTGCAGTGAGCCAAGATTGCACCACTGCACTCCAGTCTGGCAACAGAGTGAGACTCTGTCTCAAAACAAACAAACAAACAAAAAAACTGGGACAGTTCTGGACAAACAAAGACAGGCTTGTCACCCTGGCAGGAGGGCATAGGATGCAGACAGAGCATCTTCCATGAAAGCAAGAAAGGAGAAGAGGAGGGGCACAGGTGCAGGGAAGTTTGTGATTTTATGGCGGAAAGTTGATGGAGTGAGGCTCCCTCTTGTGACTTCTGGCTCCTGTGTGGGGTACTACACCCATTGGGTAGTTATCTTTACAATCTATCTCCTGCCCTTGCTCCTGGGGCTGCAGATCTATCTGCAGGTACTCAATAGATATTGGCTGAAGGCATCAGTGACTGAATGAGACTGGGGTAGATCTCACAGGTTGAGTCCTCTATAGAGAGACCCTGGAACAGAGATCAGTGTGCAGGAAGTTTATTATCGAGTGCTCTTGGAATTAACACCTGTGTTTTGTTTTGTGCCAGGGTCTCGCTCTGTCGCCCAGGCTGGAGTGCAGTGGTTATAGCTCACTGTAACCTTGAACTCCCAGGAGCAAGTTCAACTTATCCTCCCACCTCAGTCTCCTGAATAGCTGGGAGCACAGGCACACACTATCATGCCTGGCTGGGTTTTTTTTTTTTTTTTTTTAAGAGATAGAGGCTCACTATGTTGCCGAGGCTGGTATCAAACTCCTGGGCTCAAGCAATCCTCTCACCTTGGCCTCCCAAAGTGTTGAGATTACAGACGTAGAAGAGAAGGAAACAGGGTTAGGCAGAGGGAGAAGTTAAACTGAGAACTTTGAATTGGAGAAGATGTTTCAGAGTTATCCTGTGTAGGGGATGGAGGGCAGGCAGGTCAAACCCCATGCTGGTCAGTTATGGGAAGCAGGCTTCTCTGAGAAGGGTGCAGGACATTGAGGAA